CCTCTTAGAGAACATTTTATACTCACAATCAAAACACAGAACCTCAGCTGCATGCCATTAGTTTATTATTTTGTTTCAATTATTATTTTGCTCTGAATCCAGCCCCACTTTGATTTGCAATTGTTCTATGAATTTAAAAGCAAGTGACACCTTCAAGGTATTATTTAATCTGTAATTCTTTCTTGAACACTTACGTGAATATTCCAACTCATAATGCTAGGTATGAAGAGCCTTTGTTTTTCTTGCTTGTTTTTCAGACATGCAAAACCCCTTCTGTAGAAATTACAATTACAGCCTTTATTGTTCAGAGGCATGTGCTTAAAAGAAAAACAAGACAAGCACCAGTTTAATTGCTACTACAGATATTCCTGACGTAAACTGATTTCTGTAGAGTTTGGCCCCAGTCTGAAATTAAAAAAAAACCACCAAACTTATTTACTTTAACTAACTACAAAGAAATTAAAAAAAAAAAAAAAGCTAAAGTAAAGTTTTGAGTGGGCAACAGATGCAAAATCATAATGCTTTAACTGCCAACCAGCAGCACACCAAAAAGCCTTCCATCTCCATCCAACTAAAACAATGCATTCCTCACATATGGTGCTACTTATTTTTAACAGCATAATTTCAGCAATACCCAAGTGACAAGAACAATCGAGCTTGATTTCTTTGTGCAATTATGAAGAACCACAGTGTCCAATCAATCAAACTGGTTGATACTCCAAACCCCAAGCAAATGGAAGGAGGCATCATTGGATTAAACAATAATGGCTTGTTCCCTTGTTTTGGCAAAGGGAGAAAACTTTTTTTTTTATTGTTTAGGTTTTCTAAATTGGATTATTTAAATTATTATCTGGTGTCTAATTAGGAATCAAAAATATATAATGAATGTTTACCTGCCACATTGAGGTGTTGCAAAGATTAATTGGGTAAGGTTGATAAAATGCTTTGAAGATTAAAAACACCACCTAATTACAATTAGATAAAGTATGGAAGGATACTAAAGAAGGCTGCCAAGAGCCTGAAGTGTCCCTTCTGTTTGGAGAATTCTCCTTTGTGCAAGCTGGATACCTGAACCTGTGGAATTTGCTGTCCCATAGAGGCAGCTGTGTAATTCCTCCTTCCTTTTGGAAATGCTGCTGAGTGAGACTCCCACATCTCTCCAACATCCCTAGAGCAGCAGTGACTGCAGGCATTGCAGGTAAATGCTCTGTTTTAAATGCCAATCATTTGCTGCCTCTGTATTCAATTTTCTGGTTACTCTCCCAAATGACGGCTACAAAATTCAATGCAAATCATGACACAGTGGGGACTTGAAAATTTTGGCTCTTTGAAGCCTCTTGTCCTAGATTATTCTTCTAAGTTTCTTTGCTTTTTTGTTTTGTTTGTTTGTTTTTGTGGGGTTTTTTCCTGTTCTTATCTCTGCTGCTGGTTGAACACATGAATATACATTTGCCCTTGCCTTCCCAGGTCTGTCTTCTAATTCACAGAGGCCTCATGCAGCAAATCCTTTTGGCTAGTGTGTGGCAACTTGCCTGACTCAGAAGGACCACATGCAGCTCATAACAGAAAATAAATTCATGTGTGTCATAGAGCTGCCAGGAAAACAGAAATACTTGATTTATACCAAAATCCTTCCTTGGCCAGCCTGTAATCCTGTATCACAGCTTGTTGCAATGACTTGCTGTCTCACAGTCTGATTTTTTTTACCCTCTTAAGGGTTGGTCATTGCTTGTAATTTGTGTGTGTTATATAACAAACTGTCTCCCAAGTGGTTTCAGTGCAAGATTGGCCAGGGCAAATGCAGGAGATCCCCATGGGGGATTATCAGAAAGCTGCATTCTGACATCAGTGATGCCAATCCACACTTTCTCCAGCACTGAAATGGCTCAGGGACTGCTGGTGAGGATAAAAACAGAGGGGGAAAGCCACCATCCTCTTATTTCAGCATTGCAGTTTTTCCTCTGTGTGTTAACAAGAGATCCAGGCCCAGTTTTATGTTTTATGTATGGATCACTTTCTGCCTTTTCTCACAGCCAGAATACGCTCACATCTATTTATCTCCATGGCCCCCAGCACAGCAGAGAGATGGGTGTCTCATTAATGAATTACCTTCCCAGCACTGCTGCAGGACACCAAAAGCTATTATCATCTCAGCCACCTCCACCTCTGGTTGAGAGATAAGGAAGTGAGGTACACAGAGAGTCAGTGATTTGTTATCTGCCCAAGGTCAGGCAGCCAGGGAAACTGAGGCACTGTGTGTGCCCGGCCAGAGGCAGCCCAGCAGCTGCGCTCCCAGTGCAGCAGCGCTGATGTGCTGGCACCAGTTACATTGGTAAAGGCAGCGTCATATGGATGCTGTAGCAGATTTCAAGCAATAAAAGTTCCTTTACAGAGAATTGTAGCAGTGTTTTTACAGTTTGGATGGGTAGGTTGTGCTGTGTCTCCTCACCAAACCCTTTCCTACAAGACTCTCTGAGTTTGCACACATCCATTGAAATCCAGTGCTCACTCATCCCTGCTGCTCTGCTCCCCATAACTAATTCTTCCAGCTTGTGTAGTTCCAAACACCTCCAGGGTGAACTCACTAATACCTGCATTCAGTGCAAGTTCAAAAAGAATGTTCCAGTCCAGCAATCTTTACAGAGGCACTGAAGTTTGTGGTTTCCTTGTGTAAGACGAAATTCAGGGTGCAGGTATCACACCCAGATGAGGATGAAGCAGAGACCACAGAGCTTCAGTTTCCATCCCTCTCTCTTCTCCCATGCTGCTCCTCTGGATGTTGTCTTTTCCACTTTTCCAGGTCATTACAAGTGTATGCTCATAAGCATGCTTTGGAAACATGCTTCTCCATACCACTCCTTGCACTCCAGAAGTTGACCAGGATGCAATAAATTCCCATCTTCTGTATTTTTACCAGCACAGAAAACACTCATATCCCATAAAGCTGTAAATAAACAAACAGAACAAACCTCTTTAAACTTACACATAATGTGGGTATTAAAGAAAGCAAGGGAAGGGATTGGTTTAAATTCCACCGAGCAGAATTTTTACGTTGGCCCCCTTTGGTTGCACAGTGCTGGAAGGCTGCTGCTCCTCAGGGAGCTCCAGTGCCACCTGCAAGACCACCAGGATACCACACAGGGGAGGCAGGGTCGGCCTCTCTGCTCAGCTGCTGCCACTTTTCAGGAGGAAAAAAAAACAAAAAACCCCAACGACCTTGGACAATTTCAGTGGTGTCTCTCTGGAATCCTTGTTTTCAGAAGCCTGGCAATAACTGGCTCCAAACGGAAATCAGACTGTGCCATGTCACCTTGTTGATTGTTTTTCCCCTACCCTGGCTGTCCTGGGTGTGCACCCCTTCTCCCCTGCCCCTGCTTCCTGGCTTGAATAGCTCCCAGGTACAACCCAGACTGCAGGAGGGAACTGGTGCGTGACTTAATAAATTTATCCTTTGGCTTTCACTGCTTCCCCTGCTGTCACAAATAACGTTCGATCTTGAAAGAGAAACAGCAAACCTGGGCCAATGGGAAAAAATGCTGGGTTTTGGGTTGGTTTTTTTCCCCAATGTGATTTATAGCCAAACACACTGGGAAGAATCACGTTCGCCAAGCTGGACTAGTAGAGATGGTTCACTGTCACTGGCTGAAGAAATGCAAAGTGACAGCAGCAGTCATGCTCTGCTGAATATGACTGATGTCTGAGAGCAAATTATTGTCAGTATTTGGTAATAATTTCCAAACTTTAGCTCAAATACCTCTGTGCTTTGCATATTGGCAAATGCTAGGTAATGGTGCAGAAAAAATGAGTCACCATTGTAATTGGCTTTGTATATTTAATAAGGCCCTGATTATACCTAATCTCCTCACTGAGGTGCTTAAATTAGAGACAGCTTTAGAGAGCCATGTTCCTTTAGTCAGGAGAGAGAGCCTGACAGGTACAGAGGGCAGCTCAGATCTGAGATTCCTGAACACACATCCCTAGGTTGGGAAATGGAAATCAGTCTCTTCTGGCCATGACTCAACATGCTGTCATTTAAACCATTTAAGACCAATGCCTTCTGCTTTGGGATTTTCTGTATTCAGGGAATTTGTTAATAGATAAAAAGCCTGAAAGCAAAAATAAAATTAAAAAAAAATAGAAAGTTAAGTCATGCATGTCCTGCACATATGTTTTTTCCATCTTTCATATGTGTCTCTCTTCAAGAGTGAGGGAGAGGTACAGGCCCCACAAATGTGTCCAGGGGGTGCTGGAAGGGCAGGAGCTGTCAGGAGCAGGGCAGATGGTTTGGAGACAGGTGATCTAGCTTGCTTTCATGCTTTCATCTTCTTCATACAAACCAACCAAAGCCAGAGGAAAATACTTTGCAATCCTGTTATTGTGTCCTTTAAGCATTTTATCTGTGTAAAGCCACTTCTCAAAACCGAGCAGGACATTTTCATCCCCACCCACACAGCTTTTTCACTGACCCTCCAGGTTCACACAGGCTCTTGGGTTTTAGTGATCTCCACTTTCAGGAAAGGGAATGAAATCTTGTGATTTCAATGAGGATTATTTGGGCAAGCTTCAGTCTATTTCCCTGCACTTCTTCTCACCCCATTCATTTTTATTGTTTTCACTTAGTACCGGAATTTTTCCTTTTCCTTTTTTTTAAATGTTTCATTTCATGTGTCTCATTGTTTACTTTTCTTCCCCGATTTCAGGATTTTAATTGGAGTAATTTTGGAAGTTTTAGTCCTTTTCACTGCCCTTCATTTCATCTCAGTCCATTTGGTTGTAGTCACTCCATTTTCAAATTTTCTGGGTTTTTCAATTGCATTTTATTTGATCATATCAAATGATATCAATTTGATCTTATCAAATGATGTCAATTTGATCACATCAAATGCTTCTTTCCACAGTGTTTGCCAGACTTTGTTCTCTGATTCCACGATTCCATTCCTTTTCCTGAAAGGAATCTTACCACGCTTAAACGTAAACGTCTCCTTTGTGTGCACCCTCAGATGAACAAATGTGGGACCCAAGCCCCGGTGTGGCTGTCCCTGAAGTCGGAATCCCTGCCAGCTCCAGGGGAGAGCAAGAGGCTGACGGGCTGTGCCAGCTGGCAGGGCTTTGGGGGCACCAGGGACTGCTGCCTGTTCCGCATCCCCGTCGCCGTCAGGAACTGCGGCGCTTTCTTTGTCTACCTCCTGCAGCCCACGCCGGGATGCATGGGCTACTGTGCAGAAGGTGAGGAGCAGCACAGAATTTATCAATAAGATTGCTTGTGCCTCTCAGGCTGGGGGCTCAAAGGCCCCGGTGTTGCAGTGTGCATCTCGCTGACCTTGCGAGTCAAGCGTCACTGCCACTAAGGCGCGGAGCGTGGAGGAAATAAATCAGTGGCAGTCCAAGGTGTTCCTGAAGAATAGCTCCTATTACCAGTGCAAAATGTAATCTGGTGTGTATTGCTGGAGCGTTCTCTGCTTGGTTACAGCTCACGTGTAACCTTTCCCACTGTCTTTGGCTCCACTTTGGCTTGAAGTTGCAAAGCGAGTGTGCGGAGGCATCTCAGCTGTACCCAGGCTCTGTATCCAGGAGACTGTCTCTAAGGCCTCTCCTTATCTTTAATAATACAGTATCCCCCTCAAATAAAGGTAATTCTGAAACTCTGCAAGGAGAAAAAAATTTAAAACCCAACCAAATTGATAACATCTTTTTCATGACATTTATATAATTGTTCTCGTCAGAAATAATTTTCAGCCTACTACAAGAGATGTAACCCCTGCTCGGTAGCTAGGAAACAAAGGGAAAGCAGAAAGCAATTGCTCATTCAGTTAAACCTCCTGAACTTTGGAGCATGGCCAGGTGCATGTAGATTTCATCAGAAAACATGCTTCTTTCTCAAAATGAAAAAATTACCTTTATACTTTCCTTTTAGTGTTTTTGGACAGAAACATGACACTGAGAAACTAGGGTTATCAGCTTTTCAATTTTCAAACTCCAAGCTTAAATAAATTTTAAAGAGAAAGATAACTATTTTCTTATCTTTATCAATATTTTAACATTCCTACTTGAAGAAGAGGAAGGAAGGAAGAAAGGCTCAAAGGACATGAGATTAATTCAGTATTTGAAATAAAAATATCCATTAAAATAAATGAAACTGATTCTTACTCAGAAATTACTTTTTAACTGAATAGTCATTTTTCAGTTTAAGCTTGGCTTTTTTATAAACTATAAGATTTCCACTACTCTTGTTCAAAGAACTTTTTGGCCAATATATTTTGGGTGAATAATTTTGTCCTGTTTGATGATTCATACCTGTTCGGTGATATAAAGCCACCTACATTTCCAAGAAAAGAATGCTTATCCCTTCCCAATCTCATTTTCAGAGAGGTCCAGTCCTTCAGAGTCTTTAATTTCTAGCCTTTAGTTTTTGCAGTCTCATGCATTGGATGGAAAAAAATCCAAATCTAGAGTTTTTTTACTGGGTTTTTTTACCTCATGGCTTCAATTCAGCTGTAAATATTTCACCACAGGAGGCTCAGCTAGGTCCAGCTGCCATGGCTTTGTGTTGGGGTCAATTCCCCGGCTCCTTCTGCTGGAGGCTCAGGAGCAGGACAGCAATCAGAGCTTCTGAGCTGCAAAACAAGCTGAATTTAAAACTCCATAACTTGGCAGAAAGGACACAGCTGGGAAAAGCAGAGTTCGTGCTTGCAATTCCTCTCACATCCTCCCCTGAGCTGATCACCTAACTCTGTCCTTCTGGGATAATTTCCTGCACACAGTCATGATGTGAGCCACGGTTAGAGGCAGCTCCTCTAAGAAATGAAATACAAAAGGGTATAAACAACTGGTCTTTATTCATTTTTTAAGTAACTTGTTTCTTGCCTTTTGCTGTTTGCCCTGGACAGATGTTAACACATTGGTTCTCTGTTCTGCTAGAACAGCTTCATATTTTATTCTCTTGGGTTCCCACATATTATATTTTCTACACTTGTCTGGAAAAGTTACTTAATTTATCCTTTCAAAGCATCTGAACCAGCTTCATGTTTTGCTTGAGTCTGGGTCTCTAGAGATGAAAAACATCCCCTTACACTATTATACCTTTCTTTGTTTCTGCTTTCTGGGGGAGTTTAACAGGAAGAAAGGTTTCAGACTTCATTACTTGTTGAAGCCTACAGAAAGCAAGCTGTATTTTTAGAGCAATAGCATTATTCTGGGCAGAGGGAGACTACATTGAGCAGACCTAGCCTAGATACATCCTAAAACAGCCTGGAAAGGATGTTCAGTAAGGCAATAGAGGCTGGCTGCTTTCTGGGAGTCAGTTTACCTCTGCAACATAGTGATTTCTCATATCTCTCCTGGGCTTCTTGCAAAACTTGGATCAAAAGGCTGTGCTCCAGGGAAATGCAAAGCTGAGGGTCTATGCCAGAGTAATTAATTTGTATTAATCTGAGTGCTTCATTTCAATAATGTTTTTCTCACTGCAGAATTAAAAAAAAAAAGAAAAAGAAAAAAAAAACATTCAAAAGCAGCAGGTCAGATGGTACAACAGCAATAGGTAGTCAGGACACAATTAGCAATTTTTGTGTTTCATACAAAACACACCTTTTTGCTTGCATGGTTACTAATTAAGTCACGAGAAGACAAAATGTAGTGCTCATCCCATGTTTAATTACATTGACATCTTCTTGTTAGGTGAACAACCATAACACCAAAATAACATTTTGTGCTCCATCCCTCTTTTGCTCTCCTTTTCCAGACAAGCTCTCAAGCCTGGCTTTGCAACCATCGATCACCCCCGAGCTTGTGCAAGGCCGAGTGCACCTGAAATGCAGCTACAGCCCCCCTGCCCCTGAGCCCCCAGTGCAGTTCAGGGTGCTCTGGTCTCGCCTCTCTGGCCCAGGAAAGAGGGAGCAGATCCACCAGGAGACAACCCTGCAGGTGTTTTCCTACGTGGAGATGGACGGCGCGAATCTCCGCCTGGGAGACACGGTAACGCCACCGCCTCCAGCAGCACAGGGGATCAAACCTCCTTCCTAAACCTCAGTGGGTTTTTATTAGTGCTGCTCCTCACTCCTTGTGCTTAGAGCTACTGCCCAAAAAAAGATCTGAGACTGTTTCATGGCAAGATTATTTAATAACATTAACCGGGTTCAGGACCTGTAAAATGTCTGTGAATCGCAATGAGTTCTTGGAAGGTATTTTACCTTTTTTATTTATTATTTTATTTATTATTTTTTAATTTTATTATTTACCTTTTATTTTATCCTTACGTGGAGATTTATTCCTATATGTATTGATTATTTTATTTATTCTTTTTTATTTTATTATTTACCTTTTATTGTATTCCTACGTGGAGATGGACGGCGCGAATCTCCATCTTGGAGACACAGTAATGCCACCGCCTCCAGCAGCACAGGTCACACACCCAAAGGGGATCCAACCTCCTTCCCAAACCTTTGTGGTGTTTTTATTAGTGCTGCTCCTCACTCCTTGTGCTTAGAGCTACTGCCCAAAAAGAAATCTGAGACTGTTTCACGGCAAGATTATGTAAGAGCATTAACCAGGTTCAGGACCTGTAAAATTTCTGTGAATCGCAGTGAGCTCCTGGAAGGTATTTTACCTTTTTTTATTTTTTATTATTTACCTTTTATTTTATTCCTACGTGGAGATTTATTCCTATATTTATTGATTATTTTATTTATTATTTTTTATTTTATTATTTACCTTTTATTTTATTCCTGTGTGGAGATGGATGGCGTGAATCTCCATCTTGGAGACACAGTAATGACACACACCTTCAGCAGCACAGGTCACACACCCAAGGGGATCCAACCTCCTTCCTAAACCTCTGTGGGGTTTTTATTAGTTCTGCTCCTCACTCCTTGTGCTTGGAGCTACTGCCCGAAAAAAGATCTGAGACTGTTTCATTGCAAGATTATTTAATAACATTAACTGGGTTCAGGACCTGTAAAATGTCTGTGAATCACATCGAGTTCTTGGAAGGTATTTTGCCACACTCTAAAGGCAAATTGAATATTTGCAGTTACATTACACCTTGAAGGCTGTGGGGTTTGTATAAGTGGTGGGTACAGGTGCTTGAGCCAATTTTTGTTTAGTACTTTTTGTATCTTGCAGCAGAGGCAGGCTCAGCTGCATGCACTCAGTAATTTTTATATCCATGGACCAGAGACACAATAACATCTTTTCACAGGGAAAAAAATATATTATACATTTTAAAATAGAGGGAGATACATTTTATGGGGTTTTTTCACTTTGTTCTGCCTCTCTGATTCCAAATTCCTGGTTCAATAGCATACTGAAAGATAGAGTTCATTACAAAACAATCTTTAAGAAGTATATTTGATGGCTTACACAGCAACAATGATCTGCTCTCAACAGCAACAACAATAACAAAACAGAAACCAATACAGATGTGAAAAAAAATTGACTTGTGTATGAATTCATGGCCTTTTATGGTGCAGAAACAAGACTTTTAAATTTAAATTAGGTTCATAACTTTTACAGGCAGAGGGACATTAGTGATGCTGCAGCAAACAGAATAAATAGGGATAATGTCCTGGTGTTGAAAGCAGGTTGGAAATAGTCTTGGCATTTTGCAGCTCTTTGAGATCATGGGATCATAGAATACCAGCCCTCACAGAGGGTTCAAGGTTCATCTGGTCTAAATTTTCTTGGCAAAAGCGCAGTCTAGACAAGAAAGCCCAGCACCCTTTCCTGCTGAACCTGAAGTGTCCAATGCTGGGAAATCCACCAGTGCTGAGATTATTCCAATGGATAACTGTTCTCATTGTGAAAAAAATTCTTTTTGTGGTCAATCTGAATTTTCCCTCATCTTTTCCATGTTCCTACTTGTAAAAAAGGACCCTCCATCTTCTTTGTATCCACTCCTTGAAAGCTGGAACATGGGGATGAGGTTTCCCCTAAGCCTTCTTTTATCAAGGCTGAATGATGCCCTCACATGTTAAAAGATGAGGCAGATAATTCTGCCAGTTTAAAGACAAGTTTGTGCTATAAAGACATATTCTCATCCAAATTATTTCACTTGCAATCACTTCAAATCTTGTTTTAACAGTCCTGAGGGATTCAGAGAAAATATGGTTCTGTTAACGAGTAGCATTGCCAAATCTTTATAAGACTATTTTTATTGTATTGAGTTTCCAGTAAGCCCTTCTTTGTCCTCTGCTGAAAGTACGTGTTTAATTTAGTGGGTTTAGTGAGACTAAAGCATTCTCTTCCTTGTTAGGCTTCTTTAAAGGTCTTCATGGCCTATTAGACTAATTATAATTATCCATAAATCATCACGGGTGAAAACCAAGTGATGAAGCTGCAGCTGCAACTGAGAATTCCATTTTACAAAATAAAGATTTTAAAAACAGCATGTCACTGTTGGCCATCCCAGACTGGGTGTCTAACAGGAGTCAAAAGGGAAAAGACTCTCATCTGCAGAGGTGTAAATCTGAAGAAATTTAGCACTTTTAGGGCTACCCTAGAGGAAAGGTGATGCCACTATAAGAGGAATCAAACCCTGGCACCAAATTCCACCACCCAGAGGCAATGGGTAACTCTCACCTTCCCAGGAAAGATGCAGATGGAAGAATATTCTCTCAGGCAGTACTAAAGGGAGGCCAGATTTGCACTAATATGAGAGAGGACAAAATAAATCAGGAGCACTTTCCAGTATTTTCCCCTTCTCCATGCAGAACCCAGTGGGAGCATCCCCAAGGCTGAGCACTGCCAGGATGCATGAGGGGCATTCAAGGCAGAATTTGGCCCCCAGGACAGAGAATTTGCAGCATTTTGAAAACTACTTGCCTTTTTTGAACCTTTTTTACTGATAATCTCTACTTGCACAATAACCTGGATTTGGTTCCACACATTCATGGCTTGAAATCAGCATCTTCTCTGTTCCTTTCTTGACAAAAAAAAGCACAACCAAGCTAGATGATTTTTTTTTTACATCACTTTTTGGGTGGTTGATGTCAATGCTATTCTTTGTAAAAACACCTCCAGGCAATAGGTCAGTAACATAATGGAATAGCTATTGATATATTTTAATACGCAGTCAAACCTTAGAGAAGAATTGAGATTTACCAGCCAACATCCCTGAACTTGTATTGACTAAACAGCCAGTTATTTTTTAATAGCCATCATGTGTCCTTTCTTCCCCCCATCTTTGGGTTCCAATTTTGTTATTTCAGACAGTAATGCTGGCAGCACAATGTTCATGAAACTATTGCAGTCTTAAATAAATCTATACCATGCCACTATTTCTCTATTAGCTCTGAAAGGAGCCCACTCCATCTGATATGAAAATCCTGGCATTCCTAAGCCTTATTTATGTGATAGTGACAGAGGTCATTTCATTCCTCGAGGCACAGCCATCTATAAATTATAGCAGCACACTGTGAGTAATGAGTTATGCTAAGAAAGAAAGGTGTTTAGGAGAAAACTGTGCAGATTTTGCTCAGCACAGCAATCCAAAAGTTCACGTGGTGAGGAGCAATTGTCACCCTACATAAACCATGGTGCTGGTTGTAAAATAAGAATGTTTAAGCAAAACCAGCCTTTCTGAGCTCTCTGATAGAAGTGGCTGCTTTGCATGGCACTCTGCAACAGAAGGAGATTAAGCCCCAGCCAAAAAGATAGCAAATTATTGCCTCAATATATAAAATAGCTATTTTTCTCTCACAAGGGAAAAAGCATGAAATTTCATAAAGTGGTTTGGATTGGAAGAGAGCCCAAAGATCATCCAGCTCCAACCCCCCTACAAGGCCAGGGACACCTTCTGCTAGGCCAGGTTGCTCCAAACCCCATCCCAGCTGGCCTTAAACACCTGCAGTGATGAGGCAAGAGATCTTACAGTCCTGTTGTTCTTGGTGCTGAAGGAAGCCAGACCTTGCAGAGCGCTTACACCTCATCTCTCAAGGAAAAAAGGCTTTTTGTCTTATTGCCAGCACTTCTAAGAAATGCCCCAGATCAGCCCAGGGCAGAGAAGCTGCTCATTCCAGATGATGGATTCACTACATTTATTGCACTTAGACAGAAAATCCTGGGCATATGGGCTCATAAATGTTAAATCATATTAAGTCTGTACCTATGGAAATACTCAAACACTTAGAAGGCCATCTCGAGGGTTTGCCCCTTCTCCTCTCCCAGGTATAGTAATGTTTCATCCTACAGACCCCAGTGAGCACTGGCTCTCAGCATCTCCCCTCTGGGGTCACTTCATGCCCTTGGCTCAGCTCTCACTGACTCAGACTCTGTCACTGCCCAGCCCAGAGGTCTGCAGCAGCATCTGGACTCCAAAGTGACAAAGTGGCATCTCCCCATCTTAAGGACTAATCCCCTCCCAGCCACTGGATTTGTCAAAATCAACAGGAACAGGAAGACCTGCCTGTTTGTAGGTCAGCTGAGTTTACAATTTCTCCCTCAACCTTCAGGTAGAAAATGAGAAGCATCCCCGCAGAAACAGAGCTCTAGGTGAACTTGACCTGAGATTTTAAAGCAGAAAGGGTCAGAGAGCTGATAAAACTGCAGATGATGAAACACCTTGCCATTACCCTGGGAAAACTTCCTTCCTTAGCAGAATGCTGACCCAGAGTCAGCTCCCACACACTGCCCGGCCATGTGGCACCTGGGGAGGCAGAGCTGCCAGCAGCAAAGTGAGCAGGGCTGGGCTACCCACAGGGCCAGGTCACACAGCTGCACCTGCTCCCTCCTCTGCACAGCCACAGCCCCTCACAGGCAGTGATTTGTGTTCTAAGGCTGCAAGGTCTAGTTCATTAATTAAATCAAAGACAGATTCTCCTGACTTTCCCCTTCCTGCTAACCCTTCCCAGAGACTTTGTTCCTACCCCTTTCTGCAAATACCTATAGCCAGATCATTTTCTCAAGCTAATGAGAACTATTTTTTTTTTCCTCCAGCTTCCCTAGAAATGTCACCCCTCAGTTCTGCTCATCCTTTGCTCTTTTCATCAAGGCTGCAAACCCCAGCTCCCTCCCAGCTGCCAGCAGAGTTTCTAACCCCAGCCCATTAGTGTTTAATGGAGAAGGCAAAGGCCGCTGCAGTGCCCCAGAACCACCAGGACACACCTTTCACCAGGCCTGGTGATTCCCTGCCCTGCCTCCACCTTCCATCCAGGAGTGTCACCCTGAGCCCTGCAGCCCCAGCCTGCCCTGACACGGGGGGCACTGCAGGAGGGGGATTCAACCCCAGGGTTAATAATCACATTGCTGTTAATAATCACCTTCTTGTTAATAATCATCACCTTCTGCAGCCCCCAGATTGCTCTGCTGAGGGAATGGCAGCAGAAGGTGACCCTAAAGGGGTCCTTATGGGGAGAGGGGAGCTCCCCACAGCTGCCTTGGTTAACTGAGCCCCCTGTATGATGGAGAGGGAAAAGCTGGATCTGCTGGTAAACATCCACATCCTCACCCCAGCCTGGGCTCCCCACACCACATTCAGAATTACTTAGGGGAAAAAGTGAAATTGAAGACATTATTATCATCAAAACAAGTAGAAATAACTAATTTCAAGGAAACATGAAATATGAAAGCTATAGGGAAAAATACCCACATTTATTAAGGAGAAATTTTCTGCGGATGGTGACAGGTCCTAGGATTAAAATATTCTCCTAAATTTTTTCACAGAACTAACTGACCATCATCAAATTAATGAATGACCACATTCAGAATTATTTAGGGGAAAAGGTAAATTAAAGACATTATTATTATCATCAAAACAAGTAGAAACAACTGGTTTGTAGGAAACATGAAATCTGAAAGCTCTAGGGGAAATTACCCACATTTTAATGTGCAAGTTACCGAGGAGGAATTTTCTGGGGATGGTGACAAGTCCTAGGATTAAAATATTCTCCTAAATTGTTTCACAGAACTGACCCTCACCAAATTAATGTCTGACTTCTGCTTTTAGCTAAAGAAGCTGCTTATGGGGTTCATGTCAAAATGGGGACAAATCTGTTTGAGTCCATGGAAGGGGGAAAATCTGCTCCAACACACACAAAGGGAGACACTTCTCACCTAAAAAGCCTTTTTTCATATGAGTTTTGTGCCTAGAAGAAGTTTTCTGCCCTATTATGGGAAGTTTTGCCAGCACACAGGGAAAACAAAGCATCCCATGTTAAGAAGCAATCCAGTCATCCTGTCCAAGGGTACCTGTCCCTTTAAAAGAGATGATGAAAAAATAGAATTTGACTTTTTTTTTAACAGATCCAATGAGTTTGTGGAAAAATACTTCCTAACTTGTCACGACCATCAGCATGCTGCTGTCAGTGGTGCTTTCATCTCTTTGCTTTAAAAAGGCTGCATCCTGAGATGGGTGTAGGGGGGAAGAGAAAAAGAGAAAGACAAAGTTGATTACTGAAGTGCTGAAAAAAGAGTTAGTATTTAGCTGAAGGCAAAAAAAACCCTCCTCCTTGGGATGACTGCCATAATTATGTGACAAACTGTCAACCTGTAGCTCAGTATCTGATGAACATTGCTGATTGTGAGGTGTGCACCCAACAAGGGTGGGAATCGTATAAAAGACAGAAATAAAATGTAAATTGTGATGGCTGTCCATACATTTTGAGTTTTTAAAGTTTGTGCTGACCTCCAAAAGCACTGAAGATTGAGCTGGGATGGACTGATATCTACAGATATCTCTGTATGTCATTAGGGAGTAAGTTTTTATTTGAGTGTTGTGCTTTACCTATAAAATATACCTCTAAAATAGATATGAGAGGGAATACAGCGAGGCTGGGTTCTGTTTTTTGCCAGAATATCACTTTGGGGAAGATCACCATGCCATCCTCTGCCAGTGCTGGGCATCCCTGTGCCTGTCCCTGGCGGCTGCTGCTCCTCCCTGGCACAAACACTCCTCGTGCTGGGCTCAGAGGGAATTTCAGTGTGAATATTTTTGGTTAAAAGCACTGAAGCCAAAAGTGCAAACAGCCCAGTGAGTGCAAATACATCATCTGCAATGTGGGTGCAGGTGATCTGCTCCATGAGCTCTGCAAGGGGGTCAGGGCTGTTTGTTTTTGGTAGGGTGAATGTGCATTATCTGAGCCCTCTCTCTGCTGTCACCACCCTGCCAGATCCTGATTTTGCAGACTCTCCCTGTGGCAGCAGCAGGAGAAGCTGCAGGAGCATGATCAACACTCACTTTCTGCCTTCCCAGCAGAAGAAGTGTTTTGGAAAGTCTGTAAGCTGAGCACAAGCCTTTAGGGGAGGATTGGAGATAATAAATATCTAATGATAACAGGGCCTTATTAGCTTGAGGAGACAACAACTTGCTCTCCTTCAGAGGCAGGCTGGATAACTATGAAATATCTGAGGAATTTTAACTGTGAAGTGTCTCTGGGAGGTGAGATCTGGCTGTTTTTCCCCCAGTACACCCAGTATGACCTCAAGGCTTCCATCTTGTTAACGTAACAAATGGCACCATTTTCACTGGGCCAAACTGTCTGCAAGAGAGTGAGAAAAATTGTGAAGGTAAAACCATCCCAAAAGGCACATAAGCCTGGGACTGAGCTGAACTGGAAATAATCCACTTGAAGAGCACAGAAAACACTTGTTTTTTTCCCCACAGCCCTACAAACGACCCTGTATTGCTGGTGGGGAATTTCTGCTGGGCACAAATGAGGTGGGAAAGAGGATTCTTCAGTTTGGAGGGAGCTCACGGCTTGATGGTAACGAGGAGGGACTTTTAGGGTGCTAAAAGAAATATTGCAGGCTGTTATGAAGCTCTTGGCCACATGAATCTGGGAATATCCTGGTGCAGAACCTGCTTTGCAGGTAGTGATCATGAGGGTCATGCCTGAGCCAGCAGGTGAGAGCTACAAGCATCAGCATGGCCAGTGAGTGATGCTGGAAAAATCCATCCAAAGGCATTTGTTATAATGGAAAATAAATTGGACTGGTCCAGTTCTTCCTTGTGGGTTACTTGAGGCTTAAAAAAGGCAGCAGCTATAAATATGTCATCTGAGTATCTGGAATTTGATTTAATGTGTCACAATCTGTTACTTCATTTCCAAGAAGACTAAAAAAAATATTCAGAACTACAGTTTCAGAGTCTATTGTCATTTGCTTTAAGGAAAATTTCTGTATTTTAATCTTATGGTCCTAGAAATGATTTTTGCAATTTGGTTTTTCTGAAACCAATGAAACATTAAGTTGGCAGATGGTGTGCAGGCTCAGCAGAGATAAAAGTTGTGTGGCTGTGCTAGGAATACAACATAAGTGTCCTAGTACATTGTGTTTGGAGGAGTTTTTTATTTGGGTGAATTTTATTTTTTTAATACAATATAAACACTGTAGGCACATCTGCATCATCTTTTATAAAACTGTAAGGAAATAAAAGGAGCTTCTCTTATTGCTGACACAGTTTCTGAGACTGGATGACTGTCAAACAAATTCAAATTTTAAAATAAAATGCTTACAAACTTGGTACAGAGAGATGTGTGATCCAGTGGACAGACTGGAGTCTGGGATCCCAAGAGCAAATGTCTGAATTCTGACAGTGACATCTATGAACAATGTAGGTTTTTATTAGTAAAATGAGTCAAAATCACAAACCAAGGTGTTTAAAAACTGCAGAAGAAAACACATTGTAAGCATAAAGTGTAATTAATTATTGAGACAAAAGCCATACTTCTTTGCTTATTAAATGCATCAAAAATGCATTCTTCCAAATCTCAAAATTTTCACGTAAATATTCTCAAAGCCTAAATCCCCAAAATATATCTCAGCAGTAGAATGAAAGCTGAAAACTTCTGAGCAACAGGAAGATGCATAATTATACGGATGTTATTCAAGAAATGCTATAGCATGTGATGTTTATTTATTTATTACAGGTCTTCTGCACTGTCACAGCTTTTAGGAGGGGCTCTCCTGAGCAGCAGTCACTGCCTGAGGACAGCAAAGGTTTCTATGCTGGGATCAAGGTAACACCCATGGCCCTGAGTCACTGACCAGGGAATATTTGAAAATCATGATGAAGAAACATGAGTCCTGATCATCACAAGCAGCACTGTTCACTGTGAGCAAATGGCTTTCAGTTTGTCTGTAAAACACCCTGAAGGACCCCTGGTACTGTTGTGGTGTTGGTGAGGTCCCCAGGATGAGGTGAGACATGAGAACCCGACTCCAAGTTCTCAGAAGGCTGATTTATTATTTTATGATATTATATTCTATTAAAAGAAAATTATATACTAAAACTATACTAAAGAAAGAGAAAGGAGATATCAGATAATAAAAAACCCGTGACAGAGTTGGAGAGTCTGACACAGCTGGCTGTGATTGGCCATTAATTAAAAACAATTCACATGTTGGGTAAACAATTCTCCAAATCACATTCCAGAGGAGCAAAACATGGAGAAGCTGAGACTTCTCATCTTCCCAGGAGAAGAAATCCTGGCGAAGGGATTTTTCATAAAATATCACAGTGACAAGGCACCATGTACCACAAAGTATGGGAAAGTTCCATGTGCCAGTAAATGTGCCCTGAACAGCTCTCGGGGTTTTGTGGGTTTGGAAGACACACCTAAAAACCTACAAACCTACAAACCAAGGATGCACAATTCTGTTGTAAATTAACCAGGACAAAGTGAAAACAAAATATGAATTTTTATCCATAATCCTGTTATGGTCAGGCATTACAAAACAGAAGTTGCTGGAGATAAATTCACACTGAGTGCAAGAACCAGGTCTAATCCGACTCAAGGATTAGGCTGTCAGGAGATTTTTGGGATCTTTTGAGTATCTGAGTGTCATGCCTCCATCAAAGGGGTTTCAAACATCTGGCAGCCCGTTCTGTGTGGCATCTGAAGAACAGTTTCTGAGGAATTTTTTTAAACGTCAGAATTTTCCAGGGAATGGAAATTCCCATTTCCAATCAGCTCTGAGGGCTGTTTTTGCTCTTTTCCCAGGACAATGGGCAGACAGAGAAGGCACAACCCCAGCTCTCTCTCCAAACCTGCAATATTTTATGTGCAGAGCAATTCTTCTTCCTGGGAAGGGGTATTGGTGAAAAATTGCAATTATTTTGTACCTGGTGCAAACTACAAGCATAGAGCCCATGACCATGAGGTTATGCCAGACTTTATGCCATGGTTCTTCTCCTACTGCACTGGAGTAGGAGCTCCTTTAAATCAGGGATATTAAAAATTAAGTAAATTCCACAGCATTATTCTCAGGCTTAATAAAACTGGCTTTCTGATTTGGAGATAAGAAGCAATTACACATTATATATGGGAACTGCAAACATTTCCTTAATTGCAAATAATGTAGTTAAAGTATGTTAACAGCAATTTTACCTTATAAAGTTGAAGATCGCTATTGCAAAATGTATTATTATTAAGGAGATTATGATAAAGGTTATTATTATTTTGCAAGTAATATCTTAATAATTGGTTAAAACCACTTCAGGCTTCATAGATGTCAGCGTTGCCTGATTAATCTGTCATCACTCTTGTCTGTCAAAATTATCTTAAAGTTCTTTTCTTATTTCCAGTTTTTGCCAGAAGCACTGGAAATTGCAGAGGATGGCAAGGAGCATGTTGTGACTGTCCTGAGCACGGTGCCCATTGCCTGTCCTGGGCAGGAAGATTCCTGTAAAATCACTTTGCAACTAAGCACTGAGGACTTGGGTAAGAGTTTTACATATTGGCATCTAATCAATGTGATTGCTTTTGCCAGTATTTAGGTTACAATGGATTCTAATAGAAAATATAATATATCAATAATACCAAGGGGCAGAAGCCATAAAATCAGCAAACTAGGCCATATTTTTATCTGCAAAATAAAACAGCTGATTACATCTGACAGATTTTTCGGAGAAAAAAACCCCAAAGCCATAAATCTGACTAGCAATAACCTGAACAGTAGTCTGTTGAGATTTATGGATGAAATAACTGAGAGTAGAAGAACTTATTTTAAATTCCAGGAGCGTAAAATTCCATTTTAGGAGGTTTTTTTTGTAGCAGGAATGTTTTTAGGTAGAATAATTTCATTAATTATCAATAAAAAAGCTCCCCTGTAGATTTATTATTCAGTAAATGCATAGTGAAGCCTTTTTTCTTTCTTTTGTTGGCTTATAGTTTTGTCTAACTTAATGCAGAAGGAAAAAATCATTCTTGTGCTTATGTATTATTCTCTTTCTAAACATTTAGGGGTTTTTTTATTTTATTAACTTGAAAACATTGACAATGTCACTGAGAAAACTCTTGCGCTTTTATTCAATAAATGCTGTCTTCAGGTCAATCAGGTGGAATACCTGTCCTGCCTAAGGGTGGCATGTAGGTATTTACTTTCCATTTGTACCAAATAAAACACTCAAGCTTTTTTCTAACAAGTTTCTTTCTCTTCCATAAGTGACTCAACAAGAGAAATGTTTAGAGATAGGATTACAGCTGCAATTTCTCTACCCACAAAAAGCCAGCTCTAAAAAATGTTGGCAAAACCCCGACAGGTCCTGATATTTTTCTCTTTTTAATTCCCTTTCCTAGCTCTCCTCGCCAATCAGCCAAGTGCTTAGACAGAAGAAAGAAAAATAATTTAAATGGTATCACAACACAATGAACTTAAACTGAGCAGCACCTTATGGTTCCAGCAGCTGTGCTGGCTCTCGTACATGCAGCACTTTGCATTTCTCCATGGCTCAGTGCTGCTCTGCTCTGCACACTGCTCCTGGCTTGGAGTCTGGGCTGCTCCATCAGGAAAACGTCCTCTGGGCTCATGGGAACGGATTTCCTTGCATAGCCAGGTGGAGGAAAAACTGGGATGTCAGGGCTGGTGTGTGCTGGGACATCCCCACAGACCCTGAGCAGCTCAGGCACTGACGACCAGATAGGAATGAGTCCCAGTCAAGGCCATTTGTTTAACTCACATTTTTTGAGGCATCCATCAAGGTTTTCAGAATCCCTCTGGCACTGGGAGCCTGGGCCAGGAGCTCTCAGGTGGGGGAGGCTGAGCTCAGCACATTGGACTGGGACTGGCCCCTCACCAAGGTCCCCTCCAGTCCCACAGTCCCTTCCAGTCTTGCTTGACTGGAAGAAAAAGAGGATACAGGACTTGCAGAAGTAGCTCTATTTCCAAGCTGTCAATGGGCTTGATGTGTTGGTGCCAAGAGGTGCCAGGAGGAAGGCACAGCTCCTCCAATTAACTCATATTTGAAGGAAGTTGTCACTGAAGTGGAAAATTCCTGTTAGTTTTGATCAACTCATTTCTGCAGCTTAGACTAGACCCAGCTCTAGCCCCTGGTTGCTCCATCCTGGGGCTATTTCCTGGGATGACACTGGGCTGTTATCTATTGAGCTATCTATATATACTTAAGGCTGAGGATCTGCTGCTGGGTGTCTGCACAACCACATTTGCTCTGAGCCTTTATTGTCTTTAGGCTCCATTAGTTTATCTGAAGGAACACTGCGGGCTTCTGAAAAATGTGTGCTGGCCACAGTGCTGGAAATTAAAAATAAAAACCATTTCAGCTGCTATTCGTTTGTACCAAATAAATTAACTGACAAGCTCCTTGTCTGACTGAATCCATATAACTACACTCTTGTGCTAATTATGTAGGGAATAAGTGATAAGAAAGCTAATTACAAGCACAGAAATATCTCTCCAAGTTCAGACAATATCATAATGAATGCCAAGGCACAGCAGAGCCACTGGAGTTCGGCTCCTGTTAAGTTTATCGCTACTATTTTGACAAGATGATTTTCTTTGATTTTAAACTTTTGTTCTGGGTTTTGAGCACAGCTCATGGGGCTGTAATGGCAATAACTATTCCTCATGGAAACCTCCAATTTAATTGAATCAAGAACCTTGAAAATGAGCCAGGACTTTCCTATAAGATGTGAGGTGAAGCAGCCTTTAAGGATTTGGTATGAGAGATAAAATGTCATTAATATCTGTAGATTTTAGTTCAGTTCCCATAGTACTGTACAGGGTTAATTTAAATTATATTTCATGAGATTTTTCCATAAGGAATAATATGGTGATTATTTGATTGTGTTAGAAATGCCATCTTAAAATTCTTTCATGCCATCTGTAGAAATTATTAAGCAATTCTACAAATGGGAAGAATGGTATAAAAATCACTTATTTTAATATCAGAAAATCACTTGTTTTCATCTCAGATTAATTTTATGCCCACCATTTCTAGAACTTTATTCTCATCTGATGATAATTAGCAGTCTGGGACAGAAAACTAAGTACTCCTCAAGAAACACTGTAAGTCCTGAAATCAGCATTTAGATTCTGTCTGGCTTCAGCAGGACCACAGTTTCATTTCCTATCAACCAAAGGATCCATGAAAGCTTGAGTGGCTCCTTGAGAAGAAAATGCACACTGTATGTAGTGCAGACCAGATGGCTCAGAACTGAATGCTACCATAATTCAGTGTGTGTAAGGGAAAACACACCTATGGAAATATAAATCCAGGTTTGCCCTTCACCTGAAACCTCAGCAGAAAGGGTCAGCACCTGAGAGAAGTGGACACTGCCATTCTGGCTGTGTGTCCCTTCAGGAAAGATATGTTGTGCAGTGCCATTGTCACACTGATTTTGTCACCACACATCATTTCTCTACCCACCACAGATGCTCACATAGCCAGTATCTCCATAGCTTATTATTTTCCTAAATTTTTAGTGAATTTATCAGCACAATACTTCTGTGAAGGACACAAATAAAACTACCATTGTTTTACAGATTGAAAGCAAAACACAATAACATAACTAAGCCAAAAAATACAAATACAGACCTGCTGCATTTGCCTTGCTGTTGTGAATCCACAGTTCACCAAAAACTTACTCAAGAACCCTCCCTTTTCACATCAAAACACCTGTTTACTTTAAATTAAATAACTCCCAGCAGATACCTCCCTATACTCCAGACAGTGAAAGAGAAATATTTTCCAGAACACAGATCCATCTTTTTCTTTGTCATGACAACGACTTGTCTTCATTCCCTGGGCATGGACCCATAAAGACAACACCATTGTCCCAGAAATATTAGCACCTGTGGAAAAATAGACACCACTGAGTTTTTAGCAAACTTTGGGGATAAAAAAGCAGCACAGTGAAGAGTGCAGGGGGATACCAGATTCAGTCAGTCACAAGTGCTTTCATGCAAAGCCTATCTCATTTCAAGGTGTCTTGGTTTGAAAAGACAGGTGTCTGCTAAGGAAGGCGGGAGCCTTCCTTCAAATGGAAAAAGGAAACCTCCAAATTATTATAATTTTGAAATTAAGGGGCTCTTGGGCAAAGATATGGGAATAGGGATAACAGTTCTTTACTAGGAAAATTAAAAAAAATACAAATGCAATAGTACCAAAAAAAAAAACAAACAAACACCGACCTACAACCAAACCACTGCCAGAGTCAGAGTAGGACTTGACACCCTGTGGGTCAGGGTGGTGGCATAGTCCCATTCCATGGTCGCTCAGCCCTCCTACAGTGCCAGCTGTGGTTCTGCTGGAGCAGGGATCCTGGACAAGGGGGGAGTTTTCCTCTGAAGCTCCAGGGCTGATATAGATGGGCCTGGGCTCCCTCTGGGAATCCAGTAGGAAAATGCTGCTGCAGTGTTCCGACCCTCAGATTGTATCCAGGTAGTAATGCTTGGCTCCTCCCCTGGGCGGAGCATCTCCCAGTGGGATGATGGCATTTGATCAGCCATGCAGGGGCACTCAGTGGCCATGAACAAGGGATTCCTGGAGGGAGGATTGGCTGTGGAAGCGATAAAGAAAACTGCCCAATGGACAGGAGATAACTGCCCCACCTCTTACAGATGGCAATAGAACACACACCCCAGCTAAATCTTTCAACCCAAGACACAAGGCGTGTATGTCCTGGAACGAGAAATGTTTCTGTTGAGCAGAGGAGGGTATGGGGTGGCACTTTGGATGACTCCTGTCATTCTCTGTGTTGGTGTTCCTTCCAGGCAGCCAGGTCCCAGGGCCCCCAGACATCGCCCTCTCGGCCTGCCAGGTGGATCTGCAGCCGGGGCCGTGCTCGGGGGGCAGCTGTGCAGCAGCCAGGGTGACAGTGACAGCCGTGACCGACTTCGCGCAGGACGGGAACCGCGTCAGCCGCCTCAGCGCCCGCCCGGCTGCGCCAGGGGATGTGCTCTGGAGGGCCTACACACCCAGGGATGTGAAGGTGAGGTCCTGAAATCACTTGGGAAATGTGACAAATCTTTTCTTTTTCCTTTCCTTTTTTTTTCTCCTTTTTTTTTCCAAAGAAAATAAAATTTTAGGGATGATTGTCATAATGATTTGGGTTGGAAGGGACCTTAAAGACCACCTAGTTCCACCCCCTGCCATGGGCAGGGACACTTTCCACTATCCCAGGTTGCTCCAAGTCCCATCCAACCTGGCCTTGGACACTTCCAGGAAATGGGCAGTCACGGCTTCTCTGGGCCACCTGTGGCAGGGCTTCTCCACCTTCACAATAAAGAATTTTTTTCCTAATATCTGATCTAACCCTGCCCTCTGTCAGCAGAGTAAAGCAAATCAGTCACTTTACACACCAAGACAATTAAATGGAATTGCCTGTGCTTTGACAGATTTAGGTTTGATTATTAATCAGCACATCAGTAAGGCCAAGAGCTGGAACACAGAGGCCACCAGGAGTGCTCCTGTCCACTGGAAAAGGGGAGAGGGAGAACATGGGTTAGGGAATGAGCACCTTTTTGAGGAGGAGGGAGGGGGAAATCAAGTGTTTGGAGAACATTTTCTGAAAAAGAAGAGGAAAGGCAGAGCCTCAGAAAGGAGAGAGAGAGGATTGAGCAGTGCCATGTTCAATTTGTGACTGTGCTGTGAATTGCCAGGACACTTTCAATGACACGTGGCTGCTCCACTTCTTCATTTATACCAAATATTTATACAAAATGTCCAAAATAAACAAACAAACAAACAAACAAACAAAAAGAAACAATCAGGAAGGCCAGCCACACTTTCCCTGTAGAAAGCCTGGCTCAAGAAATGTGGTGAGCAAGGACCAGCCCTTTCTCCATGAAGTTATTTCAGGACCTCAGCTGGGAGGTTTGAGAGCTGTAATCCCACCACTCCAAAAAATTAACCTGAGCACAGATTTGACTGAGCTGAATTTCTCAGAGCAGGGGCACATCCAAGCTGGCAGATCTTAAGTAACTGAAACCAACCCCCCAGTGAAATCCACAAATACCCTGCCCTAATTTTTGTGGATTTTGTCATGAGAGAAAAAGATTAAACTGGACCACAAGAATTTTTGTCTTCAAAGGCAAAATGGCTAGCATGGGTGTATAGCATCTTATCTCCAGAACTGGCTTCTTTTTAAGATTCTTAAACCAGAAATTACAGCTAATTCAGCATCGTGCACTCATACACTCATAATTTTTCTTGAATTACAAATTCTGTCATTAAAATATGAAGATGTATCAAGTGTGAAATTGAATAAATCAATTTTAATAATAAATTCCATTTATTATTTATTCCATTTATTCTGTTAAAACTTGATATATGGAAACATAATAGTCAATACTTCCCTCCCCTCCATTTTCACATTGCTGCTTTGCAGTTAATTAGAGGCCTTAATGTAACATAGCTCTTGCAACATAGCAAGAAAAAGTCTATGTATTAAAATCCACATAATCTTTAACCTTTCTGACTTGTTCAGATATTTTTGATTTATCTAACAATTGAACAGAAATGGTGGGCAGAACATCCTAACACATCTAGATACCTGTAAACAGGATTTCCTCAGCAAACTACTCCTGCCTCCAACCAGGAATTGTGTCTTCTGCTGATATCATGTAAGAAGGAACAGAGCAGGAAGAGCACATGGATTTGTTTGTGCTAAATTTTTACTTAGGATGTGTGAGGCTGTGGAGAAAATGGGAAAATTCTGAGACACTTCATGTCGCACCATAAATCCAAATGATACAGCTGACCCCAGATCAAAAAGTTGTTCAAAGAGGAGTTCATTTTTTCAGTCCTCAAGACCATCATTCTAAAAGTTTGGTGTGCCAGACACAGGTGGGCATCTCAGTGTTTCTGTGTCATGGTTAAGGGGTATTTTGAAATACAGATGATGTATTGCTGCAGGTGAGGATCGCTGTCAGAAACTGAAGTTCTATCTTTACCCTCTAATTCATTTATTTAATTTCACCCCGGTTCCCAAAAGCCAGGTTCTGCTTTGTCACTGAGAGGCTGCACAGGGATATAGCAGCCATCCTTCTTCCCTGCTCCATGGATCCTGGTAGAACTAAATGAAGTGCACCTCTGGGCTCCTCATGGGCAGGGAGGGAGCAAAGAATTAACAGCCCTGCCCAAGAAATCAGTCTGTCAGGATGGATAATGGAAAACCATAACACTCCATCACTCCCACCAGTATGACTGGGAGAGCTCTTCATATCACAAATCACCACACAACCCAGTCCTGCATTTTTGGGAGCTGGTCAGCAGAGCACTCAGCCATTGAAAAACCACCCTCTTGAGCAGACCTGGGTCCAGCACTGCCTGAGATTCAGGTGTTACAGCTCCAGAGCCCTGCCCCTGGCTTCTGCAGGCACATCTGCTCCCTGCAGGGCACCAGAGCTCTCTCTGTGACCCAGCTGGTGCCCAAGGAGTCAAGGGTTGCTGCAGATAAAGATCTCTGTAGCTGCAGTAGATCCTTTCCTATTTCACCCGCATACTTACATCAGTGTAATTTGGAGCCTCCTCATCAATATCTGATCAATATCCACATCAAATAGATAAATCAGCCATTGAGATGCTGTAATGGGAAATCTGAGGTCAAATTAGGGGACAGGCAGCTAGTCCTAAAACATGCTAATGTTACTTAATTATAGCATACCTTTTTACCATACTTCAGGCATTAAAATTAGTACAATTTAATGAGCACTCTATTCTCCTGGTAATTTCAGTGAATGATCTGCTCCTTAGCAAAAAGTTTTAATAAAGAACTTCAGCTTTTACCAGATAAAGGAAGACATTAGATCAGATGAACAGGAAAACTTTGAACTCCCTCATTGGCTATGATTAAACTCTGTTGTTTGAAAGCAAAGCCCATTTTGTCTCTATCTGCAATAATGTTTCAGAAGTCAGATTGTAGTTTGTACTAAACCCATGAATCCTGCCCCTAATGTTTTTTGAGGAACAGTAATGAAGGAAAACTGCTGTGTAGACTGTATTCATTACACATTTCATTTTAACTAGGTCACAGTTCGAGACCTCCCAACAGGGAACTGCTACTCTTTCACTGATCCACACATTATCACATTTGATGGATGGTGAGTATTTTACTTTGAAATAATTTGGCTCAATTACTGCAGTTATCAGTTTCTGGATGTGGCATGCATTTGGGCTTGCATTAGAATATCAAAAAAACATTGAACATGTTTGCTCACAATGAGGAATGTTCTCCTTCAACAGCACGAGTGGTTTCCTTCCAGCTGTGTACTCCTTTTAACAAAAGGACTAGAAATGGATTCATCCTTGAGAAGCAATGGGTTTGAGTCTGAACAATTTTTACAAGGCAAAGGTCAGGTTCCAAAATGTTCTTAATATAGAACCATCACCAGTGGCTTTGTGAGAGTGTCTACAGCACAAGTTGTTGTGTTAGTGACACCCCAGTGCCACTCAAGTGACACATTATGTCACCAGGGCAGCACAGCACTCAGGGACATCCTCCACAGGAGTTTAGCAACATCTGCTGCAAAGTCACTCATCAGAGGAATGCTCTTGATTTCTTCTGTTTCCAGAGCTGCTTTATGTCCAGCTGGAGTTGCCAATCATAAACAAACCCAAAAAGATGTCTCTAATGTCTCAGATAAAAAAAGTGCAGAAATTATTAGTGCCAAATATCAGGAGAAGGATGCAAAAATAAAGTTGTACATCCTCCTGCAGTGTCCAAATGTCCTTCTGTATTACCCAGCAATAAGCTGCTTAAAGGCTTACTGAGCCAAAGTGGTGCCTTTGTGTTTGATAGCCTGAACTGTACAGAACTTTTCCACATTTAACTCCCCTAATCATTCATTAATCTATTTATCCCAGCTAATTGGCATCACTGAAAGCTTTTAAAATTTGCACCTGGCACATTTGATCCAATGTTGCAAATATTTCAGATGACATTCCAATTTTGTCATTCTGCCATTGACCTCCTGATGGCACAGGCAATGACTTTGGGTGCACAGCATCCACAAGGGCTTGGCAGGTGGGAATTTCTGCTATCCTGACATCCCAATTTCAGTCCAACATGTTCTGGAGGTGGCATCTGAAATTATGCAAAGCTGGAGAAATCAGTTGCTGAAATGTGAGTAGGAAAGGCAGTGACTCCATTAAAGGTTACACTTCTGCTTCTAACAAAGATTTCATGTAATTTCTGAGATAGGAGATAACTCTGCTTATCCATGGTTTCCCAGACCCCCTTCTGCTTTGTTGAACAGCATTTAAATGTGGCCAGGAACTTGTTTCATACAAGTTTGGATGCTTTTCTTGCTTTGGAAGCTTCGTTAGCACTGCATGAAGTTCAAAGATATTCCCATACCTCATGTAGCTGCAATTATTTCAACTCTGGGATATTAAACTAGATCAGAGCATTATTTCAAACCTCTCCATACATTTATATTCTAAAATACTCCCTTTTGATTTAGGGCTGGGAACAGGCAGTGATCTGTCAGATTGTTGTGTTTTGGGAGTTATAAATAGCTGGAAAGTACGTCTTGGAATGGGGATGCCCTTCCAGCCATGTTGCACATTTTTGCACTGCTTCCATGAAAAACAAAAAGGTCTAAAACCAAATAAAGCAATTTTATTTGAATAAGTAATTTTTAAATCCTATTGTTGATATCACACAGAAATGCTTCTAAGTAATTAATGTCCTGTTTTGACCCAGGGAGTTTGGAAAAGCCCATGTGTGTGTGTCACCCTGCCTCAGAGTCACACAAACTCAAAAGAGGAAAAACCCAGGATCAATTGGCCCCTCAAAAGCTGCAGGTTTTGCATTGTGGACAGACAGACATTCATCCCTGCTCTGTCCAGTGCAGCTTTAAATGAGCCACGCTGATGGGGCTTTGTCCATCTCAATAACCAGGTTATTTCCCTAAGATGTATCACTTCTTGGTATTCAGCCAAGTTTCTTACCCATCATTTCACAGTCCCATTACTTCTACTTATATTCCCATTTATTATTGTAAATTTCTCTTTCAATTATTATAATGATTAGGCTACCTTATTACACATCAGTTAAGCTACTTCTCTGACTGCCTATCCAAAAAAAATTGTTACCACGTTAACAAATTATTTTAAAGCTCTGTCTTTAAGGAGTGAGGAAAGTGCTTCTGTCCTGGTACAAAACTATAATCTGGAGGCAAAGGCTGACACAGAGGTCTGGAAGGAAAGTATTCCCCTGTTTTCATGTAAAGGAATCTGGTGGGAAAATGTGTTTGAAATGAGAACCTTTCTGTGGTATCAAAATTTAAACGAAAATCATTAAAAATTTAAAATTTAACTTCAGTAAAAATAGTTATTTAAATAAATTTTTAAAATTGAAAAATGGTACAAAAATCAAAAGTCTGGAAGTGCTTTTCTCATTGGCAGTACAATTTTCTTACTGAAATGGCCACTTCCAATGTAATTTTTTCACTTTTTTGTGATGTTTCCAATGGTTTTAATCTGACATGGTGAGCTCACGTTACATCTGAGGTAGTTAGCTATTCATTAGACAACTGAAATACCCAACTCCCACTCCTTAATAGCACTCCCCTTTGCTGTGCCTCCTGCTAATACATGTCTGTAGGAATATTTATCTTGTAATCTGTTCGTTCTTTTCACCAAAGGCAGTGACTGAAAATCAAAGAAGAATGTGTCATATTTTACAGCATAAGCACAATCAATTTGTGCATATTGGAGCGTAGATGTGAAATAACGTTAATTATACCAGCTAAAATCCAGAGAGAGCACTTCCTTTTATAGCAAAGTACCTTCTAAATTAAACAAATGTGAAAGCCTGGTAAAGCAAAAGTATAGCCCTCATTACTGGTTATGGCACATTATAAATATAAAAGCTTTTCATGCCATAAATCGCAGATTCTTAAATATGAAGTACTAGCTTAAAACTAAATATGCAGAAAATCCTTTTAGGACAAAGTAAAAAGGGGAATTTCTTTTGATTGGGGAACTATATACATCATTTTATGTTATTTTGCATTTTACCTAACCAAAAAAATGTTAAAAGATTTTTCAGACTTCTCAAAAATTTTCACTAATCTATATCATCCCAACAATATTATCACCAAGGAAATGGCACCATTTGCTGGTTGGCTTTAATTGCTTTCATCATAGGAGCCCACAGCAAAGTCCTGGGCATGAGCAGCCCTGCCAGGTGCTGGGGTTTGGATAGTCTGCAGCAGTTTAGCTGTCCCCAGGCATCCAGTGCCTGCTGAATATAACCCAACATCTGCTCTGAGAGCAACATGATGGGATGAACACTCTGAGAGCAGAGAACGTCCTTCAGCATCACCCAGCTCTTCATGGGGTCAAGTCTGCCATGAAATTGTTCCTAGTAGCAGGGAAAGAAGGAGCCTGGAGGGTCATGCCAACAAAGTAAATCATTTTGTGGCAAAGCTGTGGTGGAAAATCTTCAGGAATGACCACACTGAATAAATACAAAGGGAAAGTGCAGCTTGGTGAAGAGAAAGACCAGGGTATGAGCTAATTGAGCACTACTAGGTAGAAGTTTACATATATCTGTCCCTCTCTTATGATTTACCAGCAGAAATTATTCCTATAGAACCTCACTGCCATAACCAAGCATTCAGGAGTGTTTTATAATTACTAAATAAAGAGCATAACTCGAGCCATGACTTCGTGCCAGGACAAGAACTCGCCCCTCTTGGAAAACAATCTAGGCACATAGAGAGGGAGGGAGGGAACCCCTTTTCACCCCATCTGCCCATTGCTGCAGGCTCTCAGGGGAACAGGGTGGGGAAGGGCACTGTGGAGGGAGATTTAGACACAAATAGTGGTGCCTGGTTCACAAGGAACCCACAAAACACCCTCCTGCAAGAGCTGCTCTAAGCTTACTTCAAGCATTTAGTACTACAGGCAACTCCAAGGTTGTCCAAAGAATCATTATCACAATTACAGTTGTGTAAACACCACAGTAGTTTACCTGACTACATCCAATTATCCATCCAACTGATTTGAAGGCTCCTGAAAGCTCTAATTTAGGCACGGTGCAGGTTTGTGCTGTGCAATCTCTGCCATGGCTTAATTGAAGGACTCAGAGTGACTTCCATGAGGGTTGGATTGGGTCCACTGTCAGTGATTATTAAGCAATAAATAGCTCCCCTGACTGCAATGACATTTATATGCATATGCAAAAAGAGCCTTCTCTATCAGACAGAGATGATTAGTCTGGGTACAGCCAATCTGATGCTTGATTTCCCATCAGCCTCCTTAAACACCTCTCCTTCTAAGCTGTTCCTGTAGAAGGAAAACTGTGGAAGGTGCTCTCATAAAATATCCTCCTTCTCCCCCACAAAGATATCCAAATGGAGCAAGTACTAGAGGTTTAAAGAGATTATCTATTTTTTTATGTGGTCCTCAGTTCTGATCAATCTTAGCAGCAGCATCTATGCAGTGTAATACAGGATTTATGTATCTGATTAGAAAATACGATGAGAAAAAACCATTCAAAATCTTATCACTTTATGGCCAAACTAAGTTTTTCAAGATGAAAGATAAAGACAGATGTGTTTTCTATCAGAGAAAAGAAGCTGGAGTTTAAATTTTTTACTATGTTTTAAGCTACAAAGTTATCTATAGCTTTTTTTCTGAAGAGGAACAAAACAGAAATATACATGTAAAAAAGTCACAGTTCATAAGCCATTTGCTCCTCTGCGTAAGAAACATTAATGGCCTGAAACAATGAGAATGTTTGTATGGCACTGTTTAAAAAATAATCCTGTTATTTAGCAGAAGCATTTTTTACATGCCTTTTAAAGTTTTTTTTATTGTAGAAAATAATAAAGCTTATTATTAAAAGATTATAGTTTAGTTTCCACATTAGTTAATTTCATAAAAATTGAGTTTAAAACTAATCACAGTGCCTTAAAAGAAAGCAGAATAATCCATTGTTTTTAAAGATGGAAGCTGTTGGCTTATAGGAAGAAAACATCAACAACATATATTAAGTATATGGCTACTATTTCCTTTTATATAACAGCATAAAATAGAGGAAGAATGAGACAAGTTTATGGAGTGAGAGCACAAAGAGCAAGCAGAAGAGGATCTTCTCACAGGCCTCTGTGGTAGAAATCCATGAGGTTCCAGAGGGTTCATGCAGAGGCCAAGAACTTGCGAAGTTGTTAAAGTTATCCTGCTCTTGGCCTCGCCCACATGGAGCAGGGATGTCCCTTACAGAAAAGAATGAAAATGCTAAATTGCTCTCCACACTGATTGCTGATCCAGTGAGTGTGAAAGTTGTGCTTAGGGGCCAGTCTTGCAGGGGGAGGAACAAACTTCATTTTAGCTGGCTTTCAGTATAATCCCAGATTTTCACAGGAAGCCTTCACCTAGCTACAGCCAGACTTGTAAAATTTGGTGATTAGTCACAGAAGAGGTTATTTGAGCGCTAATTTCCCTTTGAACATCACACGCTAAAATCAGCCAGTTAGAACCAAAGTATATTCATTAAGACCTGGAGGCAGGAAACTTCTCCCCATTTGCTTTATATCAAATGTTTACCCTTTTTATCCATGCCCATTGCCATGGCAGCAGCTGGGGCACAACTCCTGCTTTTCACAGAAATCCTTAGGCTCTTCCAGCCAACAACAGCCTTGGCGTTCCCTTGGATGCAGAGCCAGAGAAACTCCTCCCCACGTGCGCGTTTCCATCATTCAAGGCCAGCCAGCGCTCTGCTCTAATGATGGAGCGCTACTGTGCAATTGCCAACGATCTCTCAACACTGAGGGTGTCTAACCCTGTCTGGTTTTGGTTTTTTGTGGTGGTTTAGGCGCTACGACAGCCATAAAATCGGGACGTTCCTGCTGAGCCGCAGCGAGTCGCGGGCGTTCGAGGTGCACATCCGCCAGTGGGACTGTGGCGGCCACCGCTCCGCCACCGCCTGCAACTGCGGCGTGGCTGCACGAGAAGGGGGTGACACCGTGGTGCTGGACACCTGCAATGGCCACTTGCAGCACAGCAGACCCCAGCTGACCGTCAAGAGCACCGAGGCATTGCCACAAGTCAAGATCCTGAAGTCTTACGGAGGCAGGAAAATAACAGTATGTGCGTGGATGGCTGAGCGCTCTGGTGGCGGTTGCGCTTTGAGAACATGGGTTTAATACTTCTGAATTATCAATGAAGTTGCTCTCAGGTTTTCTGTGGTTGAGATGACCCTGACGTGTTAGAAAATCTCTTTTTCCCAGCCCCGAGATCGAAGAAGGAGGCAGGATTCATCAGCTGTGGTTTTGAAAGTTGTTTATTCTTTGTTATCTAACACATTCTTTTCCTGACCTGCTGAGGTCTGTCCAGCAAGTCAGTCTGTGCCACAATGACCACCCCTGAGGCAGTGTTATCTTTTTATACTACAAACTACGTGCACATCATTTACAATAATTTCCCAATACCTATCACCTATGTTAGACAATCTCTGTCTCTACTCTAAACCAATCCAAAAGTGCCACCATCACCCAGAAGATGGAAGCTAAGAAGAAGAAAGAATAAGGACAAGGCACACCCAAATCCCTCCATCTTGGCTTCTGAACCCCCATTCTAAAAACTCAAAATTCTACTTTTCTCTCTTGTAACAAACTAACTATCATTCTACTTAAACTCTCGTGGCTTGAGAATCCTCATATAAGGTTGGGAATTTTTATTTTTTCCATGGGCTAAAATCAAAGCCGCAGGTGTCTTTGCTTTCATGCCAAGGTCTCTGAGCCCCCTGGCAAGGGCTTGAGCCATCCAGGGCACACAGAGGGACGTCCTGGGTTCCAACAGTTGCTATGAAAATATCTGAAGCCATCAGAGTGCTTGCAGCAAAAAGAGAGACAGGGAAGTAGCTGATTAAAGTGTTGGTTTAGCAAAGTGTAAAACCAAACAAAACAAATGCCTCTGGAAATTTTTTGGCGACACAGCGGAGCTCTGATAGCACTGCTTACTCTCTGCAGCACTCCATGTTTGCTTATGCCGGGCACTACCCAACCACATCACATAAAGCAAATTTCTTTGCAGAGCTCAAGACATAAATATGCAAGGAAAGATCACAGGTAGCAGAGTAATGGAGTTTTTGAGTGGAGCAGTAAGATACTATTAGTCAGAGCCAGAGAGCCCCCAAAAGCTATGAAAATGGGCTGTAAATGTGCAACATTTGCTGTAACATAAAGCATTTGCCTAAACAAATATATGGCCAAGACTTGCTTATCCACACTAATAGACTGAAATCACTGGAAAAATAAGAGCAGGCTGCACGAGGGGTTTTGGTAAAGAAAAGGGCTGCAAATTATGGCCAAGAAGATAATTTTATCCTAGAGTTGTATCATCAAGACTTATTGCTATGAAATGCTTTGGATGAAGATCGGTCCACAGCAGAGGCAGAATGACACAGGAAGTGCCTGTGCTTGGTTCTCCTTGTGATCTCACTTGGAATAGACCTCAGGAAGGCAGTAATTGAAAGTCTGTTAATTATAGAATAGAGAAAAAGCAGGAATCAAGCTGTCATTTCATTTTGCAACTGAATGCAATATAATTACTGTTTTATTACCAGGATAATCTTAGTGAGGAATCCCTACTCTCATTTACACCTGAGGTAAAACTCAGGGAAACAAATCAGGGCAGGCTGGGGACACAATATGGATCCTGCTGGGAGGTGAGTGGGAATCTACAGGAACTGTGCAGCAAAGATCCCTGAGCACACCAGTGAGTGGGGTGCATCCCAATCCTCCCAGCACTTGTCCATCATTATCCTCATGCAGCTCAGGAACTGGCTCCCACTGGCTCCCACAACGTTCAAGGAGGATCGGAATGGGGTTGGGTCACACAAAATGGCACCTTCCAGTAGGAAATCACTGAATAACTCTGCAAACTGAGGGCTCAAAAAAACTTCTTTGAAGCCTCAATTAGCAGCATTAAATCCAGGTGGGATGCCTTGCTCAGGGCAGCAGGATGGGGAAAGGTTAGAGCCCTCCAAATTCCCAAAATAAATCCAAATATTAATTTGGACAGCGCAGAAGACTGAGCAGCTCAGGCAGTTCTGACTGCAAGGGTTTTACATGCAGACCTCTAGAAAAAGCCTGAAGTAATGTGGAAATAAAATGGGCAGAATTTTAATTTAGTAAAGCCAAACTCTGAGTAAACCCTGGATTCAAGCACAAGAATAAAAATATGAGCTTGTTACACCTTCAAAGGTATGAGTAGATTTGATGGGGAGGAACTTCAAAGGGCCCAGAAAATCCCCACCCAAAATAAAGGAAAACAAAGGACATTATTTGGATGAATAAATAATATTTAGGCAGGGGCCACTTAAAAAAGAAAAACAATTATTTTGAAATTGTTATAATGAGATGTTTGCAACTGTAATGTATTTTTTAAGATTAACTAAAAATGTTTACTTTTGGATAAAAAGAAAGTATTAATGCTACTTATCAGGATAGCATGTTCCTGCTCCCACTCCAGGCTCAGAAAATTTTCAAATTATTTTTTTAACCTGTAAAAATACAGCAAAAAAAAAAAAAATCAGCTGAACAGATACTTTCTTTTTGCTTTTTTTTTCATTTTTATTATTTGGTTAGTAAATCAATCTGAAAAATCCATTATCCACACAGTTACTTCTTGTTTTGAACCCTGCTATGTTTTTTTATCCTTTTAAAGGTCAGTGTAAGCCTACCACTAGTCCTTTAATGAGAAAATTGCTTTATCCACTTTAAAACACAATCATTTCCTGGATAATCTGGCCTTGGAAAATGAAACAGTTGTTCAGAAGGAAGAAAGATATTTTTCAATCTTGGCAGTTTCTCTAAAAAAAAGTTATTATTATAAAATTATTAAAATAAAAGACACAAGGGTGGCCTTATTGTCATGGAAGTCACTTCAAAAATTAGCTGGTAACTTACCACTGGGAAAACTTCAATGGATGCAAATATCAATTTAAGAAGAAAGTACTCATGGAGTTATTTATTTATGTAATACTATCAGATATGGATGCCATGGAATCTGAAAGCAAGCTAAATAATAGCACAAATAAATATTTATAGTGTTTCTAAGTGATCTTAAATTACCTCCGCCATCGCTAACATCCTGCTTTGAAATTTTTGTGTATGGAAAGAGACGTTTTTTATTGCATAAAAAGCTTGCTAAGTGCTTCATTCATTGTGGGGGTTTTTGTTTGTTTGTTTGTTTGTTTTTCTGCCTTTTCAGATCCTGTTCCCTTCTGGGGCATTTGTTCGAGCAGACCTGAGTGAGAGGGGAATGGGAGTGACAGTGAGGACACCGGGCAGGGACTTCAACAGCACCCGGGGCTTGTGCGGCCTCTTTGATGGGATGGCTCACAACGACCTCAACAACGTGCCTGAGGAAGACTTCGTAGAGCAGTGGAGGTACAGAGATCCCACCCAGGAGATGCTCTTAGCTGTTGGGAAGGAGGAAAGTTTGACAAGAAAGTCTCACAGATGCTTAGCAGAAAGATTTTTGAATGTAGAATATGAAGCAGGAATAGAGATGGAAGCAAGTTTTGATATGGAAGAAAAGAATTGCTGAGCCAGTCTTACTGGATAACAAAGGAGGAAAATGGTAGGTTAGTTAGAAGGGGGTTTTATGGCTTAGAGCAAAGGATAAACCCACCCCAAACAAGAAGATGTTTTTACCAAGCAGAAAGATAGCACAGGCAAACAAGTCAGCAAATGTGGCAAGTAGAAAAAAGGTCTCAGAACTTTCCACTGCAAGAAAATTGAAAAACAACTTCTATCTTGAACAGTAATGTACTAACTTTTAGTGATTGGAGAATAGTAACATGAATATGGTAATTATAGTAGTTATGATAGGCTATAGATAACAGATAGTTAAGGTATAGATTGGTTCTACTCTATTAAGATGCTCAGCAAAGAACAGTACATAATGCACTGTAACCAAAACCAAGGGGTCTCCTGGCCTGCCTGCAGCTGGAGCTGACAGCTGTGGGCACAGCTCTGTCACCCATGACCCTGGACTGTTGTAACCTCTTGGATGGAATAAAGTGCATTTTGGAGAGCCACCTAGAGTCCTGCATCCCTCTTTTGGGCTCTTACACTTAGCAGTGTTCCAAATGGCCTTGATGGGTTTATTTCATTACAGACTCCCCTAATGGCCTGACAGAGAGATCTGCTTAACTTAAGAGAGAAGCCTGAAGACCCATCTCCATCCCAGCAGCACAGGGCTTAATCTTCTGTCAGCACAAAACACATCAGCAGTTTCCAAGAGAGAAGTTTTATATTCACAAGTGATGCCATGTTAATAGCTGTGTTAAGATCCCTCTCAGCTGTTAAAAAAAAAATGCAGTTCTCACCCACCCTTGAAAATGTAGGTAGTTGACAATAGGTAGGTAGGTAGGGATTAATTAAGGGTTTCATATTTCTCTTGTTCTTTTATTCCTGAATGCTAATTACAACATGTGAGTATAGATTAAATGTTACATTTTGACAAAGTCTGGTAATACATGTACCATGCTAAAACCTAATATCAACTCTACTAATGATGACAGTGAGCTCTGAAAACTTGTACTTTCTGGGACAGATTATCTGGAAACACAGACAGGAGTGTAACTCTGACATCTCCCTGTCACAGTCCCTGTCCCTATCCCTGCTCCTGTCCCTATCCCACATTTTAATTCTTGTTGCTGAACTTCAAACATGCCTAATAGGTGCTCCTAAAACCGAAATGGGCTTGCTTGTGTAGCCTGATTTGTGAAGTAAGGAAAAACAAGGCAAAACATTAACATAGCACTTAATCTGTACATGGGAGCTCAGCACAGTCCTATAGGAGCAATGAATTTTTAGACTTCTTACACTCCAGAAAATAAACAAGCACCTCTGTCATATTTTAGTTCAATTCAGTGGGCCTAAGTAATGGCTATCTAATCTCTATTTTGGCCTGTCATTATAAATTCCACTATTTAGAATTCAACAGCCATCATTAACATCCTAATAATGGGGTAATCAGTCAGAGATTGCTTCTGGGAAGGCAGATGGAGAAATAGCTTGGTGCAAGAACCAACCAATAACTCACTGCCCCAAAAAAAAGCTAAAAGGTCCATAGGAGAACTTGCTCAAAGCAATTTTGTTGAAAAAGCTGAAGCCAAAGCACAGTGCAAAGGAATTTAGTTATGAAACACTGAGGAGTTTTCTAGGGCTGTGTGATGAGGATTCTTCAGGGAAGGCAGAAGCTCCTGCTAAGTGAGAAGGGCAGGAGGGGTGGTGAGTTTCATCTTGCACTGCTCCCAAGGATGGATTCTCAAGGACCCCTCAGAACCTGTGTAGAAAAACCAAACCAACAGAGAAACTGAGGTCACCTCCAAAGCAGACTGGATCATTCTCTGATCCACTCACTGAGAAACAGCCCAGTAAAAAACAAACCCTGGAGGGTGACTTTTCTGCTGCTGTTTTTAATTTCATTTTAAATAACCCTGCAAGCATGCTAGGGTTTCTCCAGCACCTGAAGCCATCTGAGTGCCCACCATCTGGCAGTTCAGAGCTTTCCCTGGCTCCCACCCCTCTCAAGCAGCTGCAGGGCCCTGCATGCACAGATCAGTTTTACACACCAGCTTTCCAACACAACTTTTAAACAGTAAAACAACATCAGAGCTTCCCAGCCACTAAATAGAAACCAGAGAAGAGATGAATTTTAAAACATGTGATTTAAGTAGGAAAAATAAAATCTTCAGACATTTAAAAATACGCCAAGAGACCAGCAGAAATGCTGTTAAATTCTGAACACTTTCTCTATAATAGAATCCAACGCAATTGGATGAAAAAAAAAATTTCTTTAGTTCTTCCTGGATTATAGTGGGTGGCTCAGAGGAATGATAGTCTGGTCACCTCATGCAGGGACAGAGGGCACATTTGAGCTCACTGAGGAGCAGCTGTATGTGAGTGGCTGTGAGGAAGGTGGGGTTTCTACTCTTTCCACACCATACACCTCTGTTCTGTGTTCTGACCAAAAGAAGGTAATTGGTTTCATGTGGGATTAACAGAGGATTTTGTTTCAGTAAGACATCAAGGCAAAAGAGTTTCATTTTAGTGAAATTTTCATTGGTGCATTAAGTTTCTGTCCTGATTCTGGACCAGTTTATGTGGTTGATTTATTTTTTTATTAAATAAATAATAGTTACAGTAGCCTCTAGTTTATGTAGTATTATATCAAATTAGGATCTTCTGCTGCCCTAGTCTATATTTAAATGTACTTGGTGCTGAATCAGGGAAGCTTCAGGGGCAGATAACCCCTCTATTAGAACCAGAGGGTTGGAGCGTGAAGGACACTCATTCAGACACTAAAATGTTTTGTTCAAAGGACAAATCTCTCAATCACCAAAACCATTTTATTCTCCTAGACTATAGTGAAGTGCAGAACAGCTTGTGCATTTCCATGAGCATGAAAACCACCCTTTTGTCTCATACTGTCTCCTGCTGAGCCCACACTTTGGGCAAAACAGTTCCATAAATGTTTGTGCTCATGTTTCAGGAGGAGAAATAGGTTCATTTTCCCACTGTCACTGAGATGGTCTGTTTTAAAGTCATGATTGTGTCAATGATCAAAATGGTAATATCAGATGTGCCATTTAAAATGTATTTCTAACAAATTGGATAAAGGCAATTACAGTTTCCAACTACAGTATCTGGTGTTTGGCTCCAATATGTTGGCAAATGCTTTCCCTTTCCTGAAACCCCAACATTCTGGCTGTAAGACAAAAATAATGCCAAAATCATTTTAATTTTTGGTGCTCTTTCAAATTTGTCTGGTAATGACATGCTGCAAAATATTGGGACAAGAAACATATCCTTTCCTGTGAAACTCTAGGATTCCTCTTGTGCTGCACAAACAAGATCAATAATAAGAGATATGAGATTTCTGAAGAAACTTTAATCATAGCTGTTTATTCAAACTGAAGTCTCTAGAAGTTCACCCATCATTAAAGACTAAATTTAAAAAGGGGGAAGAGAATCATCTCAGCTTATATGATAGCCTAGCCTTATGATCAAGAGAACTGCTTTGTGTTGAAAGAAAAAAAAATTAGAGAAAACTCTAGTAGAAGGAAAGAATGAAATGAAGTATGAAAAAAAAGAGGAAGAAGACATTTAAAAGAAAAATGTTACAATATACATCTTAGAGGACAGATCAGGCCCACAGACAAAGATGATTTTCCTAATATAGTATTTGAAACAAATATGACTTTTTTGTCATTCTCCAAGAGTTAGCTGTGACACCCAGGGACAAATCCAAGGCCTTATTTCATGTATAATACACAAAGGGTAACCTGCACCTCAGAGAAAGTCCTGCAAGGAGAAGTCAAGTAGTTGGGCAATGCTCCAGCAAACCACTTAAACATCTGGTACAAAAAGTCTCCATGAAGTGCTAGAAAACACACAGGACAACTCAAGAAGGGCAGTGCAAAAGTGACTAAAGAAAACAGCTTAAACTTTTTTCAAGTTTAAGCATTTTTTCAAGTACTTTTGTAGATTGGGAATTTATGCTTACCCTACCCTCAGTAAAAGTTTTCTTTTATGATAGACTAATTTGGTGGAAGTTTTCTTCTTCTAATCCTTTCCTATTTTTGAATCAGAATTCCTCCAGGGAAGAGTTTATTTGACAAGACTCCAGCACCCTCTGAGAGGAAGCAAAGGAAAAGTTTCTGCAGATGCCAGAAGGAGAGCACCAAGCCTGTGCCCATGGCAAACACAAAATTTGCCTTTCAGACTCCTTCCCCTGAGCCCTCTGGTTGCCATCATGACCATGTGGACCACAGCTTTGCAATCCCATATCTGGATGTTACATCTGAGTTTGTCACTCATGCAGAAGCAGAGCCAACTTTGAGAAAAGATGGGAAACCACCTACCAAGACTTTTGGTCAAAGATATTTTTCTAAATCGGTCCAAAAGCGAAGAAGCCCTGAGGTACCATTAAAGCCTCTCCCACACAATATTTCCTTGAATAGCCACAGCTCCATTGACTCTACCAAACCAACAGGAGACCTAAGGAAAGCAAAAAGGCAAGACAAGTATTATAAAGACTCATCCTTTCACTCAGTGCATGGCCCAGCCCAGAGACACTCTGAGAGCTTCGCGTATTTTTTCCCTGAGGATTATTTTGAAGGGGTTCGGATGAAAATTCCACTGTCATGGCCCACTCCCAATGGCCTGACTGCCATCAAAGCTCGGGAGATTTGCCACCAAATTCTTGCAAAATCCACCATTGGCTTGGCATGCAAAGGCCTCCTGGCCAAACACCTGGATGAGGCAATTGATATTTGCCTGTTGGACCTGCAGCTCAAAGATGACGTGGCTTGGGCGAGGCCACTGGTCGCCCTTTTAGAAAATGAGTGTGAAAGGAGAGTGCTGGGGAGCAGGAAGGGAGAGTTCCCTGTTGGAAACCAGCCCTCTGGTGTCTGGAAGGAGATCCTCACTGCTCTCCAGTGTCCCTGCACGGAGCTGGGCTGCCCGTGCCCTGCAGGCCGCAGCTCCCACCACTGCAGCTCTGACAAAAGTGAGTAAAGCCTTCTTTCCATATTGGCAGTGAGTAAAGCCTTCGTTCCATATTGGCAGTGAGTAAAACCTTCTTTCCATATTGGCATTATTAGGCAGAACATCTGCACAGAGTTGTTTGCTCTTCAAGCAGCGCTACCAGTAAGGTATTTGATGAATTAGTAATCAGGTTTTGACCTTGAGGAGCCAATCAAAATATCTGGTTGGCTGGTCCTTCGCGCTTTTTTTGCCTCAGTAACTTTTTAAAAATGGATTTTACAAGCCCCTTAGCAAATTGGTTTTGCAGAAGTGATTTTCTTTACATCTGATCTATCACTGGCAAGATGACAAGCAGGCTTTTCACAAAAAAAAAAAAAAAAGAAAGAGGAGCATCCTGCTCACCTTGTGGTCAATATTCATGTAAACAGTGTAGAGATATGTCTTTCTTCTTTTTTCTCTGTTCAAGAGGCAATAAAGTTTGAACCTTAATTTCAAACACTATACTAGTAGCAACACAAAATTAAAATGACAAAATGAACAAGTAGCCCTGCCAAAGCCATCAAATAGGGTCAGTCTAGGGTCAGTCACCATGGCTTAGCTGAGACATCCAAATCTCCAGCCAGCCCCAGGAGCCCAGAGGCACATCTGACACCCCAATGCATTTATTATCAGGGATGGGATCGCCCATGTTCTTCACATTAAACATAACTTCACTGCGTGGGTTTAAAGCAGTTAAAATATAGCCTGACATCCTTTTTTTCTGTTAATTACAGACTAAAATTTGCAGAATAACTTCCCAAATATGGAAGAATTAATTCTCTTTCACACAGAGAAAAACTGACACCAGGGACTGAAAAGTGAGTTGAGCAATTTTGAAGCAATTGCCCAACATACAATTCAATGTTTAACTTATTTCTCTGTGAACAGAGAGGTTAGGGGGCTTGCTTGGCCCAGATTTTAAAATTTTATTTTTCTATGGCTGAAATCTCTCAGATAAGAGGAAAATAGCTTCAATATGACCTTTCAAGTAAAAGCTAATGGCACCTTGTCTTCTTGCTGTGAGATCAAATATAAACAAGGACAGAAAACAGAGCTCAGCCTGGGATTGCACAGGGAGGTGAGAACTGGAAAACAAACACACGTCAGCTGTGGCAAACACCCCCAAAACCATTGCCTTCCTCTCATTGCCTTCCTCTGCCCTGACTGCTTTGTCTGTCTCTTGCTGCCTCTGCATTGTACGTTTTCAATGTTCAGCTGGACAGGGTGCTGGGCCATCTTGTGTAGACAATGCTTTTTCCTGAGTTAGAGAAAAACTAAGAATAAAACAACCCATAAAAATTAAAACCAAGGTAATAACTGGCATGCTTAACTTTCTGGGTATTCTCCCTTGTCTTTGGTATAAATGCAGAGAAGTTAGGAGAAAACTTCATACAATAAATTCACCTCAGCATTAACTATGGAGTGGAAAAAGTGCTGCAACTGTCTAGAGTGAATCAGTGAATGAGCTGCAATGAGGTCCATTGTTAAGGACTATTTATTAATTAATTTATGAATTTTTGATTTAGAATATTTATTAGTGATTTAGAATATTTTTCTATATATACAAAAATGGAGAAGCTGTTATATATATATATATATACATACATATATACATACACACACACATATATATACATACATACATATATATATATATATATGTATATAAAATTATCTGATCTTGTGAATGAAATATAAAGCAGAACTATACATACAGTCTGAGGTCTGATCCCCTACAAGGAGAAATAAAATCTTAGTTCTGGCATGCCAATCACCCTGACATTATAATACTAAGAAAAGGTCATCTAGATAATTTGGTACAGTCAATCAAGGCAAGCCTCCATGGGAGCTTCACCTTTAGCTGTTCTTCATTTTTGAACTTAATTCAAAATATATTTAAGGTTATTTGCTTGTTTCACATCTCCCATGCAGAAATGTTTTACACAGACAGCATGGAATCATTTCGATTGGGAAGGATCTGGGAGATCAGGGAATCCAACCCTTAACCCAGCACTGCCATCTTCACCACTAAACCATGTCCCCAAGTGTCACACCTGAGGTGGTTTTTTGAACACTTACAGGCATGGTGACTCCACCACTTCCCTGGTGTTCCAATGTTCCAATGCCTAACCACCTTTCCAATGAATACGTTTTCCCTACTATCCAATTTAAACATCTCTTGGTGATGACAGCAACAAGATCCTCTTGTCCTGTTGCTTTTTACCTGGGAGAAGAGTCCAATCCCTACCAGGTACAACCTCCTTTCAGGTAGGGCAGAGAGCAATAGAATCCCCCCTGAGCCTCCTTTTCTCCAGGCTAAACACTACAGGGCTGTTCCTTACAGATCCCAAGGTCCATGGGTGATGGGACACCTCTTTCCAGGGAAAAACCCAGCAGCACCACACAGCAACAATCAACCTCACAAATGTCACTTCACAGGACTGGAGGTGCTCAGAACCGAGGTCCTGTACATGTCACCAAAGGCTTTCACTCCAGAATTGGTTACTAGGGATGAAGAATTAAGATAAATCTCAGAAATAAAGCTGTGTGCTCCAACCAGAGCAGCTTGAGCCCCATCCCTGGGAGCTCAGGAGTCCTGGCCTGGCTGGCAGAGCCCAGGAAATCAGCACAGGCAGGATAAGCCTCTGGGCTTTGTGACTAATGAGCAGGGGCTCTGCAGGAACGGAAAGAAAGGAGGAGAAATTAAGAACTAAATTAGGTTCCTGCAGGACATATAAAAGTGCTGTCTCTTTCACTTTCTTTTCAAAAAGTCAGGAGAGAAGAAACAGGAGAATGCAAGTTGATCTCAGAAATGCTGAGTTTTAAGTGCTATTGCTAGGAAAAAGTTATTTTCCAGGAGAAGCTACAGGAGTAGAGAAGGAGGCTTGCTTAGGCCAAATTTTAAAATTTTATTTTTCTATGGCTGAAGTGTCTCAGATTAGAGGAGGCAACTCCTTTTGCTGGCTATATATTTTCCCATCAGTTCCAAAACAAATCTCTGTCTAATTTTCCTAGGTTGGAATTATAGATGTGAATTAAAACTCCCCCAAGATCAAGGAGGCTATCAACATAATTCAAATATATTTTCCAAGGTCACCCAACCTCAGCTATGCTGCCAATATAGAACAATGTATTCCACCACTGGTTTTGGCCAGCAAACACAACCAAAAAGATAGTTTTTTGCAGTATTTTAGGAATCAAAATACAGGCCATGATATATCTGAAGTGATTTTAAATGAAAACAGAAATAAAGAGAGAAGATGGGAAGCGTGGCTTGCAGACAAGTTCACTCCTCTGCTCTGGCTGACTCCAACAGGAGCAGTCCAGGTGGCCAGAGCTATAATTATCCTCGCATGAAAATCGCTATTTGGAGCTGAAAGGCACCTCTGAAACTTGGCAGCACTCCAGAAGCTTAGAATTTCTTAATGTTGCTTAACATTTCATAACCCCCACCCTCCCCCCAACACCTGTATAAGGTGCTTAAAATGTCATTACCACCTGTAATTAAAGGCAGAATCCAATTACAGCAGGTAGCAAATCGGGCTGGTGCTTACCATTTGTATATATTGACCATGTTGCTTATTAAAAAATATCAGGACTGGTAAAGCACACATAGAGTAATGTAATATGCAGATTGTATGAAGCTCTAAAGAGCAATTACAAGATAAAAGGTAATGAGGAGTAATAACGACAAATTAGTTTCAGTGAAGTAATGACACTTGAAGTTTAAATTTCTATGTGGAAAGTTCTGGGGAGAAAAAAAATTACGCAGCAAAGAAATCAAAGCCAGCAAAAAATGATAGTGAGAAGGTGAGAAGGGAATGTTCACCTTCCACACTGACAGAGATCCCATTTTCATATCAATACATTTCAGTGGTGGTATTAAGAGGGGCTGTGAACCCAACTGCATTTTCAGAGCTGTGAACCACAACCACACAGGTCCCCCAGACCCATCTGCTACACCCTGGTATTTTTAGAGTGGTTACACAGACCTTTCTGAATTCAGCAGTCTGCTTTGGGTCCTGTTCATGTGCTGTAATTAAATAATATGAATTAAAGCACGCAATATTTTTTTAAATTTATTTATAATGAGCAAAAGTATGAGGTCAGCTATTACAGTCTTCCAATGGAAAATGACTCTCCCCCTTGGAAGAATAAGCTTAGAGGTTTGATCAGACCAGGAATGTAAGGTCAGGTACATATTATAGAAATCTCACCATTTATGTAATTGTGATTTATTTTTAAGCTTAGTTCTCATTTTCAAAGACAAAGAATGAGGAAGATATTGAAAGAAAATACTTAATTTTTTTCAGGATCCCCAGGTGAAAGGAGACAGAGCTTTTCAGTTGTGTACATCAAACTCCAATCTGTTTTGGAGATTGGAGCATTTGTATGGGAGCATCCTGGCTGAAGTAAATACTTTTCTCCCACTTGAATCAATTCAATGATCTTAAAATTCCAGATCATAATGATTATGCAAGGGCTGTTAGGAAGTCAAGTAAATTAATACTTTCTGGTATTTTCAATATGTGTTTTGCTGATAAGATGCAGAGGGAGCCATCAGGGTGTGTTGGTACAATAGATGTTGTCCTTGCATAAATTAAAGTAAACAAAATATTACGCAAAGTAAAAAATACATCTTAGACTTTTCAAAGGAAATAGAATCCATTTCCTAAATCCCCAGGATATCTACAATGAAAAATATTGCTCACTGTGTGTAAGGCTGGTGTTCTAGCCTGTGGTGACCAGACCTTCCAGGGAGAATTCCATTTAATAGCAACACAAGGGCCCCAGAAACAGTTACCAGAAAGTGTGACCCTTTCCACAGGAACTGATCTTTTTTTATCAAATCACTTGGGCTTGTAAACAAAGACAAAACAACCAGGCTTTTTGCTAATATGGCAAAACATGTTATATGGCAGAGAGGATGCAGTACACTGTAGCAATTCCATTGATTTTTCAAAATTGGATTTCATAAGAAGA